AGTTGGTTTGACGCCAAAGGAGAAATGTAATAAGCTTTCAACCTCGATCTCCTCCTTCTATTTGTTGCTCGATATTCCTTCTAGACTTAATGGATTTCCTTTGTGATTGTGTTTGTATTTTAAAGGAACTGATATGTTCATAAGATAAATCCCTTGACCACTAAGCTTCGCCACATTGAAGTCCTCTTTGAAACTTCTCCTTGATTATATAACTTGCGCATCGGAAAATTTTCCATAGGAGATTGGGTTATCAATTCTAGGTGAAATTCTTGTAAGGTGTACCCCTTCATCAGGGAAGTATTCCTTGTGTCTAACTCTCCATGAAATCACTGACATGTTTTCAAATTTGAGTGCTATTATCTAGCGATTCTTCGGCAGTTCCCCCCAAATTAATTTCTCATAATTTTTATTGGAAGGTGGATTCATCTAATTTTTGAGGATGATGTAGCCTTTGGTGTGTAGAATAATTATCAGCGTTCTTTGAACCTTTATTTAATCTGAGAATATAATTTCAATACTCCATTGTAGTTCAGTCTGAAAATTCCTATTGTTCATTGCTTCATGATTTAGCGAATTCACAGAGTTCTATGATGAATTAGAGGGAGATTCTAGTAGGGTTTTTCTCCATTATTCAAGCGCTCTTGTTGAGTTGGTCCAGTAGCCTGAAAAGGCCGGCTGACGGTTAACATGCCATACCACTTAGCATTCAAATAGTCGTTAGAGGCAAAGTTGGTACGCAGTTCAAATGTGCGCGCATCTTGAGAGAAATTTAAAGAGAAAGAAAAATTGGGAAATGGGGAAGGGATAGGTATTTTAGGATTGGGACTTTGGGTTAATGGTTTAGGTTTAGTGTAAGGGTTAAGGTTATGGATAGGGTTTGAGTTTGGGTTAGGGTTAGGGTTTAGGTTTCTTTTTTGTTTTAGAATTTATGGTTTAGGATTTCAGGTTCAAAATCTAATGTTTAGTGTTTAATGCTTGGGTATCATATTTTTGACTTAGTTTTTTTTATTTCTTTTGGACTTTGGTTTTTGGCATTTTGGGATAAAGGTTTGGGGTTTATGGTTTAAGATTAGTGTTAGGGTGTTGTTTTTTAGGATTTATAGTTTTAAGGTTTAGTATTAGACGTTAAGTATCAATGGTTTAGTGTTAATTTTTGTGTTTTTGATTTTAGGCTTGGGGTTTAGGGTTTATGGTAGGATTAGTGTTAATGTTAAGGTTAAGGTTAGTAATTGGATTATTTTTTAGGTTTTAGGGTTTGTAGTTAATGATTTGAGTTATAATATCTATGTATTAGTGTTTATTGTGAGGATTTTGGTATCTTAGGGTTTGGGTTTAGGGATTAGTGTTTACGGTTAGGGTTAAAGATAAGGTTAGGGTTAGGGTTCGTTTTAGAGATACGGTTGGGGTAAGGCTTTAGGGTGTTCTTTAGGTTTAAGGTTTTGGGGATTAGGGTTTTTAGTTTAAAATCTATGGTTTGGTGTTTAATTCATTGGTTTTTTGTTTAACTGTTTAGGGTTTGGGTTAGGTTTAACAATACGGTTAGTGTTTGGGTTAGGGTTAGGGTTTAGTCATTTTTGGGTTTTATGGTTTTTGGTTAAGCATATAAGGTTTAAAATCTATAGTTTAGTGTTTAACGTTTTTGTTTTCATTTTTAAGACTTAGGTTTTTTTTCCGAACATTTTTTTTGGACATAGTGTTAGGGTTTTTGTCTAGGATACTGTAGGGAGTAGGAATTTTTTTATGGTTTTATGGTTAAAGGATTAGCATTTGAGGTTTATAATCTATGATTTAGTATTTAATGTTTGGTTTTTCATATTTTGAGCTTAGGGTTTTCAGTGTTCTAAGGTTTTTGTTTTTATGGTTTAGGATTTAAGATTTAATATCAAATGTCTAGTGTTTAATGTGTAGGTTTTGGTATTTTAGGCTTGGGTTTTAGGGTTTATTTTTGGGTTAGTGTTAAGATTAATGTTAGGGTTATTGTTAGAATTCAGGTTTAGTTTTCTATTTTAGGATTTGGGGTTAAGGATTGGAGTTGTAATATCTTTGATTTAGTGTTTAATGTTAGGGTTTTGGTATTTTAGGCTGTAAATTTATAGTTTCTTTTTTAGGGAGAGGGTTAAGGATAGGTTTAGGGTTAGGGTTCGTGATAGGGATAGGGTTAGGTTTAGGTGTTAGAGTTTTTTTAAGGATTGGGTTAAGTCTATGGTTTAGTGTTTAATGTTTGGGTTTTGGTATTTTAAGCTTGGAGTTTCAGTTCAATGGTTTAGTTTTAGTGTTAGGGTTATTGTTAGGGTTGGGGTTATGATTAGGATTAGGGTTATCTTTTTTGTTTTTAGTGTTTATGGTTTAGGAGGTTACATTTAAAATACATGGTTTCATATTTCGGTTTTACGTACTTTGAAAATAGGGTTTTTTCTGGACTTCTATTTTGGACTTAAGGTTTAGGGTTTAAGGATTAGGGTTAGGTTAGGGTTATGGAAAGGATTTAGGGATTGTGTATAGGTTTTTTAGTTATTATGAATCAGCTTTAGTATTTGAGGTTTAAAATCTATGGTTTAGCATTTAAGGTTTGGGTTTTTATATTTTTGGCGTTTTTAGACCCTTGTGATGGGTCAGGGGCTGAGCAACGCCCCAAGGCCTTATCATTTCATAAAATAAAATTGAACAAGAAGGGGGGATTGACCTTATCTTCATACCTATGATAGGTTAAATTGTCCAACCTCCTAAGGTTAGTTCATTTACCCTTACAATATGTATATATTCTAAAACAAAATTCTAGAATAACATAAACAAGGGAGACTCTCACCTTATAATTTGATATGTAAAAACATATTCATATTATATACTATATTTACATATAGACATTAAGAATACAGAAGTGGTAGAACATACAATTAACTTGATTTATTAAAATCATTCTGCCAGTGAGTTCTTCAAGGGGGCTCTTTAATCCTATTAAGATTTTTCTTCTAAAATTTTGCATACCAAGCTTTTCCAAAATGTATCTTCCTTTAATTAATCCTAGAAGTTTATTTTGAGTTTAGAAGTGTTGGATAATATCATGTTTATCACACCATTTTGATAGAAGATCGGTTGTTCCATTGTCTTCTCGATATATATGGCAGCATTTGAAAAACTATTGTTTACTTGCAATTTGTTTTATTGTGTTGACATCCTGACTAATTCTCCAAGGAGTATTAATTGCATTATTAATCCATTTACTTAGTATTTTTAATCCACCTTTAGAATAACTCGTTTATACCCATGTTGTTCACATTATATAATTTCTTGCAATGTTGCCTTAATCTCAACAGTATTATTACTACCAAAACCTAAAGGAATAGATAATGCATAGATTAATTGACCTTAGTAGTTGCTTAAAATACCTCCCCCTACAATTCTACAAAGATTGTGCATAGCACTACCATCCTTATTAAATTTATATATACTTGTTGGAGGTTTCTACGTATTTTGGGCTTAGGGCTTTGTATTTATGCTTCAGGGTTGGGGCTATGTTTTTTTTATTTATAGGTTTAGGGTTTAGAATTTGAGGTTTAATTGTCACAACCCGAAAGTCTACCTAAGATGTTAGCACGAACCCATGTTTCGTGATTGGGCGTACTTGACCTTTTGGGTCTTGTACAAGCCCTTCAACTACCATTCATTACATAAGACATGAAATGTAATGCAGACTTAATAATTTTCACGAATAATTTTATAAAAAGGAAATCATTCATAAATGCTTAAGAAATCTTATCATCACAAGACAAACATAAAGACAAGACACAATTAACTTTGGGAGAGGACCCTTTACATTGAAATGAAATACATAATATGTCTTAATATAATGAAAATAAGACGATAGGAATTATGCAAAAACATTTGAAAAGGAACATTTTTGTAAAATACGATTTCATGCAAATTAAGTAAAACGTTCATAAATTTTGAAGCAAAGTATCATAAGAACCATCATTTAACATTTAAATAAGTACTCACATAATTTTATTCAAAAAGAGGAATTTACAGTAACATTCAATACTTAACAGTGAAATTGAAGGACCTTTATAGAGAACTATTTTGAACCATCACAATGAATCATTTAGTGCACTCATAATGAATTATTCTATCCTAAATGAGTGAAATTCCAAGACCAAGCGAAAGAGAAAGTGAACTCATTTTCCATAAGAGTTACCCTAACTCGGGATTATGCTAAGACTCACTATTGTAAGACATGAAGGAAGAATGTATTTGCCTACTTTTAATACACTCCAAAAAAATCCTCAAGACTACCACTTTCGGTTTACTCAACTCGGGAGAAACAAGTCTATCAATCAATATCAGACACCCAACAAGACACCAAAGTCTTCCCGTTCAGAATGCCTACTTAGTGCAATGAGTAGATAGTGTCTCATACCACAACCTACCCTATGTAGCACATTTTTTAAGAACATATGGAACCAAGTCTTTCCTTTCGGAAGGTCCTACTTAGTGCAATGGAGAGATAGCGTCTCATAGCACTTCATACCCTATGTAGTACGTTCATTTAGAAAACTTAGTTCATTCAATTAAAACAAGTCTCACCAAGACTTCCCTTTTGGATTGCCTACCTAGAGCAACGACTACAACATTTTAGGTCTATAGCCACATTATTTTTGGACTACGTTTGTAAAATGTTCCCCAAAGTATTTTTGGAAAAACTTTTAAAGTGCAGCAAAAGTTTTTAACTTTTAGCTACAATAATATTGTCAATACTTAAAAATTCTACTCTTTAATAGTATAAGCTACACTTTATCATTTTTATTACAATGTAATATTGGCAACACCTATTTACATATCTGGCCACACTTTTAAAGTGTCCTTTTTTAATTATTGAAAAACAACACATATGAGGTGTGGTCTTAAAATTTTCACTAAAATATTTAATATCCCTCCAATATTTAAAACTCTCGCTCCCATTTTAATGTCCAAATAAAAAAACATTAATAAATCATAAAACATTAAATGTCCTCATTCATTTAACTTTCTTCTTTGAATTAACTCTTTCCTTATCTTTAACTAAAGAACTTGCTGCCATGGTGTAGAGAGATGAAGATCCAAGATTCTCTTCGGTAGTTTTCTTCTACGATATTGATTTGTGAAAAAATTATGTTAAAAAGTTGAAGTCGGCAAAGAACAGAGATGGAGAGTTGAAAATTGATGTCATCGAAGAAATTATTCATGAAGTTGTCTTTTTCAATAACCACTTCTTCAAAAGTAAGTATGATTCTCTTTTTCGATACATTCGTCAAGCGTAAGTACTAAAACAGTCTTCTTGTTAGCTTAAGTGGTTGATTTTTTGTGTATTTAGAAGGAACCGATTACTTTCGGGGTTTTGGCAAGATGAATTGAAGCTAATTAGTCGCTCTTTCATGCTTTTCTCTCAAATTTCTCACTAAAGAACATGATATTATGCAGATTTTTTTGGAATAGGGTTTATTAGATATGAAGTTCTATCTTTGAAAGTCTAAATTTTATCTTTAGGATTTTGATATTCTTGTGTTTAATGTGGTCATTGGTAGTATAGCTAGTATTTTTGCTTCATTAGTTCATTTTTTTAAGTGTATATCGTATTGAGCCTCCCTATATAAACCTCCCTCCCTGTCACTATTAGGGGTGGGAAAAGAGATAAGATTTATTTGAGCAAAAACATTTAGAGTAGCTGGAGATAATAGTTCATATATATATATGTGTGTGTGTGTATATATATATATACATATATATATACACACAAATTCAAGGTAGGGAGAGTTAAGTGTCCATAAGAGTATGGAATTTTCTAATTTGTTTTGCATCAGTTTCTAATTCATTCTTCAAGTCCGAGATTTTTCCAAGAATTCTCATCCATCATTCGTGTTCAAGTCTAGCGGTGAAGATCATTTCCCTTCATGTCCTGTTCCAGTTCACTGTCAGAAAAAAGGTAATGTCGTTTTCCTCATAATAATCTTTTCGCCTTTTGTTCTTTTTTAAGAGTGATATTTGTGATTGTCTGGAAGATGTTCTGATAATTTTGGATCGTTTTATCTGATTTATCTTTGAGTTGATGTTGACTCAATGTGATATATGTGTTCTTAGTTGCTTTTGTGGGTATGTCGTCATATCGCTTTAATGATTTGATAATTTGTATTTTTTGAATTTATTCACTTACTTGTTATTCGATGTTTTATTTGGTTGTTTCTCTTCCTGATCATTCTCTTGGAATGTTGCATAACATGTGTTACTGCCTACAATTTGATGTCATATTTGTCATTCTATATTTTCAATTTGAGGCAACAAAATAAGATGTCAATATTTTGGGTTCATGTACCATATTTATTTTCGTTTTGAGTTCATCGATCATTTTTTTTATTGCTCATTTTGATCATTTGCAAGGCTATTTTCAGAGTTTATTTAGAGGGTTAAGCCTTATTTTCCTTATCCATGATGCATATACCCTTTGTTCCTCTCTCTGTTAAAATTGATTGTGTAAATTGAATGCATTTAATAATAAAAAAATGTGTTTATTATAGTAAAATATAAATCTCATATCTTTGTTCTTCAATTTCTTACATGACACACGTTCTTGCTAAGAAAATGACGATGTTTCTTCCAGTTCATGCAAATATTAATTTTCATACTATAATGACAAGCATTTACATTGGTGATAAATAAACATCTATCGATGTGTTTTATTTCTGTAGATAGATTGAGGAGTTTGAATAACTTCAAGGAAAGTTATTCCATCAATGATAAGTATTTCCAAAACCCAAATGTTTGTCATATGAGTGGTTTTTTAATTAATACTTAACCATTTTGGTAATTATACTTCATGTTCTTTTTTAGTGGCCGGAAAACTGCAAGAAACAATCAATGATAACCAATTCAGATTTCATGGCAAAAATGTAGGTATTTTATTTAATCAACACATATGTTTGTTATTGTCTTGCATGTGGAATTAGATGCAACTCACACTTACATACGAGGCGGACTGTAGATAAAGAATGTGAAGTTGTTTGGCAGAACAATGATTTGTAGAGGATGCAGATAAAGAATGGGAAGTTGTTAGACTATCTTGAGAGTGTTTCTTCCAATGAAAATATTTATGTGAAGAATGGTTAGTTCAGTTTTTGTAATTAAGCCTAAAGGTTTTCCATATTTTGTCCTTTGCATTTTACACTAACTTACTTGAATCGTAAGCTAGATTTCTCTTATATTTAAAATTTTCTGAAATTATTTGTCGCTCTCTCATCCATGTTTGCAAATAAAATGTAGCATTTTTTTTATTCCACATATTTCAGTATAAATCAACTAGGCTACATTTCATGGATTTCCTTGCACGTTTAACTTGATGAGATAATGTAAACTGGTACAAAATTCAAGACCTATTGAATGAACTAGTAGCAATGCTGATGTTATATTCCTTGGTGGACTAAAAACTTCAACTGTGCAACGTAATGGTTGAAGTGTTATCAAACGAGACTAATTTTAAGTGCCAAAAATAATGGTGGTTGAACTGGCAAAGTTTGTGCTTTAATTGGTGTATTCTCAAAGTAAAAAAAAGGGACCCCAAATAAACCAAAATTATTCAAATATTACGTGGTAATGTTGGACAATCTTAATTTTAAAAAAAAATGTATGTTGGTAATTTTAGAGTTTCCTCTTTTCTTGTAGTACTTGTTTAGGTTTGCCATAGGAGTCATTTTTTACATGTTAGATCCAGGATATAGCTGCACGTTTCACATATTGTAATTAGCCCCTGCTATCTATTAACGATGATGTGAGGTTTATAATTGGGTCCTCTATTGCAATGATAGTGTCTTGACAATATTTGATCAGTACGATGAAAATTGTGCATGTCAATGGGAAAACTGCTGGATTAAGAAATATATGTGGCGGTGCTACTTAACTTATTATTCATTTCCTCAAAAGAAATAATACATAAAGTAGGGTGGATACATTTAATTCTTGGAGAATGACATATTTATTGTCTGGATCTCTTCGCGTTGTTATGGAAATTTGGTGTTTCATTGTCATTAGATATTTGGTATTTTCTATCTTAGCGTGAACATTCTAATTCCTCCTCGTTTTATCCATTAACAGATTATATATTGAGTGCTTGTGTTGTTTGAAACAATGGTAGCTCTATGTTTACTGCTCAATGAAGTATTAAGATTTAAATAAATATATAATTCTTGCAGTGTGATTTGTGACGTATTTTTGCATATGGATATCAATAGTTGCTGGAGAACTTCATTTTTAGTAAATTTATTATTTATTTATTTTTGGTTACGCTCTAATGATAACAACTTAGATTCAGTTATTTACTATATCGCTACCAACTATTTTATTTATTTATTTTATGCTCTAATATGTTCTTCAATTACTAACTCATCATCCTCAACACATATCCTAGCCCAAACAAGCGGAGAGATAAATAGTTAGGAATTAAAAATTAGATGCTTCCTATAAAGCAGAAGATCAATTGGATGAAGTAAATAAACATGAAGATGTTCTGTAATGATTTAGGTAGAGGCATCAAATGATATAAAGTTTAATGACAAGTTTCTCCAAATTGATTTACAAGGAAGAGGATAGTTGTGTGTCAAAAGCTCCGCCTCGTCTTTGTGATTGGGATATGTTGCATTTCAAGACACATGCACCTTTTTGAAAGAGGAACAAACGTTATAAAATAGAACATATGTACTATTATAACTTTCGGGATAGCTTATGATTGCAAACGTTATCATTGCTTTGTCCATGAGGCATGCTCTAACATCCCTGAAAAAATTCACTATTATTTTAACCTTTTGCACTCACTCAAACTTCTTCTCATTCCTTCAATCACTTTTTTTCATTTGAAAGTTGAAAATGAATTATGTTGTGTGTCACGGGGTTATGAAAACATTTTCCTCACCAATCATTGTTTTGATTTGATATTCATCCTGAATATGCTTTTGTGACGACAAAATTTATCCATGAGGTAAAATACTCTATTCATTTCTTCACTTACATTCCAAAAAATGAAGAGGCAGCATTGTTAGGTTGTATTAGAGTGTTTTACGACATGTTTGATCTTATTAGGAAGTTCTACGAGATTCCCCAATATGTCAATTACTTGTTATTAAAGGGTTATAATGTTCTACTTTATGTCCTTCTGATTCTTTTCTACCTATTTCTACAATTGTTCCATTTTTTGAAAAAAGTTCTTTATCTAGAAGGGCTTCTATATACAAAGGTTGATATAATATAGATTGTTATTTATATAATTGAAAAAATTGTCTTTTGATCCAATAAGGTTCTTTTGATCGGAAAAAAAATATAAATAATATTTACCCAAAGATATATACTTTCAAACACATAAGTTTATGTTCACAGGTAGGGGTATGTCAATATATAACTTACCCTCCCCATACATTACTTGTGGAATTATACTAGTAGGTATATTCTTATACTTAATATTCAAAGATACAGTTTTAGCACTAAAGGTTCAATATACAAACTCAGCAACAATTTGAAGTTCTTTTTTGTGTATCATTAAAGTATAGTTTTGTTTTATCTTAATATCGGGCTGTTTGATTGTACCATTTAAGTACCGTGACTCGTTTCATTATATACTTTACTATGGAACCTGTATTTGCTATAAGGAACTTAGGCTTTAAAAAACCGTTTTTACCCTATCAATGCAGAAAGACATACCATGACAATTGGCCTGTGAAATTAGATGAGTAAAAAGTATGATGTCATTCTTATCATTGGTTTGATATCGTATACTCAAATTCCCTATCGCACTCCATATTTGATTATTTATTCACTTCCCCCACTTCATTTGTCTCGAGATTCGCCAAGCAAGATTATGTTTGTCGAATGTTATTGAAATCAAAGGAAAAGAACGGAGACACATGTTGAAGTAGTATTTACTATGTTTGATTAGGTGTTGCATACCCACTATGATTATAAAATGTTTTAAGTTCAAGACTATGTTTATTTAAGCTAATAGCAATATGTCATATTAAATGATATAAATATAATTTCAGCTTGCTTATTTTCTACAAGATAAAATAACCTTGCTTTCATACGTTGTTTGGGTAACAATAACTATGAAAATATTTACAAGAATTTTTTCTAGTAGCAATATTAAATTTGATGTTCGAGATTATTTATCGCAAAATTATATTGGTGTTTTTAATTAGAAATTGTGGCATATATATATATATATATATATATATATATATATATATATTATACACAAAATAATATGATCACACTTAAAAGTGTCGACATAAGACTTTAAAATTGTGGTATTTCCATGGCAAGGACTACACTTCAATGTGTTTTCATAGATTATATAGAAAAGGCAGCACATTAGGATTGTTTCCTTACATTAGATAGAAAAGGGGACACTTACAAATTGTGGGCAATATGGAAGCTAAGGTCACCCATAAAAGTATAGTTGTATGAGATAGAAATGTTTCTATTTTATGTACATAAAAGAGTGGCCATTTTGTATTTTAGGCTATGCTTTTGAGCGTATCTTATAAGGAAAGTGTTTCCTAAACATTAAGGTAACACGTCAATTTGGCACTCCTAGGAAAGTGTTGCTTAATGTCCAAATGTATAATATTTTGTTAAAGGCCATACTTTTTTCTAGTGTAGACTACACTTTATTGGGGTGAATGTAGGCCTAAACTGGTGTATGGAATGGATAAATAGTGTCCCATTCCACCACCTACCCTAATTAGAACACTCCTTTAGAAGACTTATCACGTTCATTTCTTTTGTGGGAGTTAGATAACCTACATAGACCATGAGAGCTTGACACGGAATCCCGATATTAACTCCTATCAGATGAGGGATCCTCACTTTCCTAGAATGAGGTTGTTCTTTTAGCATTTACATGGCTTTCCCAATAGCTACACCTACGCGGGCATATAGTTAAGGGATAAGGAGATTGCTACTAATTAACTCATTCTCTACTAACGAGGTTTACTTATATCAAGAGGTGCATTGGAATACAACATCTTAACTAACGATGTGTAATCCACCTTTCATTCATGTCCTCTCGGTGATAAGCATAACTTCCCATGGATTCTCAACATTATAGACTATACGTTAAGGATAACTAATGAAAACCACATCTAAACTCAAGAAGGCATTAATCCTCAAACCTATCATATAAAGATCATGGGATATAGTTGGGTTGATACTAAATACGTCATCTCAACTCACGAAGAGTGTTTATTCCAAAACTCCCCTTTTGGACTTAACAAGAATATCTTCATTGAAACATAATCTCTAGCCTATTTCATTTAATAGCTTCATAAGGGACATTTTTAAAGAATAGGATACATTTCATATTACTTCACATAAGAAGACTTTATAGATCCAATCACAATAATCTAGTAACTTTACCTTCATAAAATTCACGTAAACAGCGCCACAAAGATGGTGGACCATGCCACTAAAGAGCATTTCCAAAATTAAAGATAAAAAACATAACAAACTTACCCTTCAGCCCAAGATTTTATCACCTATAATATTTTACTCTATATTTCATCATTAAAAATCCCTTTGGGCAGTATCTAAACAACAAAAACAACAATAACAAACTAAAGCTCATTCTCTACACAAACATGCTCATTTAACCCATTTGTTAAGCCAACATATGATGAAAACCTTTAACATTATTTTATAGAAGTTTTATACTTAAAATAATATACTAACTTTAGTAATACCATCATAAAGTCATTTGAAATTTTTTCATGCAACACCCATGTTTATATTTTAAGAAAGTAAAAACTGGGGTTGAAATACCATATCAAAATTAGTTTGAAGGGGTTCCTTGAATGAATTAGAGTTCAATGATGGATAACATACCTCACATTGAAGAAATAGCCATTATTTTTGATGAATAAACAAATATCAACTTGAGTCCTTTCATTACTTGACTTTTGCTTCCATGGATTCTTCATAGAGTCTTCTAAGAGAGACGAGTTGTGGGTTTTAGGAAGAGTGGTCTAAAATGAGGTCTTAGGAATTAGAACACTTTAATATACATAATAAACACTAAACTAAGGTACTACGGTCATAAAAGCCTTTGAGTGAATTTATCAAACATACCCAAGCCAAGGCAGCAAACTTTCAGCTTTTTAGAAG